GCGCTGCGCTGCTGGGGGATGCTCCGGCTAGAAGCCAGGAGGGCGGTGGTGGGGAGCCGGGCTCCCTGCTTTGGGAAGCTTCGTCATGCCTGACCCTTCCACGCTGCTGGAAGGGCGGTGGGAGCATGGGCTGGTCCCCCTGAGCCTGTGACCCGCTGGGGTAGAGCCGTGTCTGCTCCGTGCAGAGAGACAAGAGGAAAAGTGCTGTGATTGGGGTGAGGGGAAACTAAGATTTGGGCTTGATTGTGTGGGGTATTTGCAGATGGAGTCGGTGCACAGAGGCCATAGGGCTTAAGCTGCAGCTGGGAAGATGCGTTACTGTTGGGATGTGCTGCTGAGGGTAAGGCTGTGCCCTGCTGGGGCTCCCCGCGGCTCGGCGTGGGGCTGCTGAGCTCCGCTTTGGGCGAGGAGGGGGTGAGGCAGCGGGTTTGAAGCTGGTGTAGGTCCCTGCCCATGCAGTGTCCCAAGTATCATGTCACCGCTCCGGCTGCCAGGCTGTTCCCAGCACGCACCCCCTGCGCCCGCCACGGTGTCGGTGCACGCCGGGGGAGCCCTGGCGGGATCCGGGCCTTGTGGGGTGTTTCCCACCTCTCTGGAGGGAGGGTGATCGCCTCCTGCTTCCACTTAATCACCTGCTTATTTCAACCGCAGCGCCTGTCTCTGCCCGAGCTGAGCTGGCGGTGGGGTTGGTAGGACAGATCCTGCCCTGGAGCAGGGGCTGGGCAGGAGTCCCTCCAAACCCCACGACTTTCTGCCGGTCCAGTGCAATCCCAGGGCTGTCACGTCAGCAGGATTTGCCTTCCCGATACTCTGGGGCTCCACAGGACCGGCTGGGCCGGTTCTGGCCCCGCTCTCCTGGGGAGAGGAACCCCCTCTCTCCTCCTGCTGCTCTGGGGGGAGGGGGGGGGGCTGCTGGAGGCAGCCTGGTCCTGCTGCTGCAGGAGAGGGCCCAGCACGCTCGCAGGGGGCTGGAGCTGTGCTGTGCCAGTGAAGATCGCTCCGGGGGGATGCGAGCATGCAGCAGTCTTCCAGGAAGAGCCCGTGGCCTCACACGGCTTTCCCATGCCAGCTCCACTTCACGTGGCTGCCGGGTGAGTCATGCAGCCCAGCCAGGCTCCTTGCCGCCAGGCTGGAGACAGGCAGGTCAGGGACTGCAGCAAGGCTCGGTACCTCTCCTGGCTCCCTTCCCCTGCTCCCCGCGCAGCCCTGGGTCTCTGGAAGAGCAGATGAGTGAGGAGGAGGGGAGGGACCCATCCGTGGGAGGGATGGGGTCTTGTTATTCACGGCTCAGCGTGGTGCAGCTGGGCTGGCAGGACCCAGCAGACTCGAGCGCATCCCTGGAGGGTCCCTAGAACAAAGTGAGCGGCAGAAACGTGCCCTCTCCCTCCCCGAGGACTGCCAGCTGTCCTCCGCTGGGAACAGGGGCACATCCTTTCCCATGGCCCTGTCCCCCACCCATCCTCCCCCCTGACGCCGCTCTGCCCCACAGAAAAGCCAGCCCAGGCGTGCTGCGGCAGCAGTAAACAGACCGATTTTAATGCACGTAAACACCCAACATCACCACGGGAGGGACTCGTCCCTTCCCTCGCAACCCTCTCGGGCCATCAGCTGCGAAACACAGCCACCTCTGGCCCTCCAGCTGCCTGCGCGGAAGCCGGCTTGGGCTGCTTTTCCATCAGCCGTGCCCCTGGCTTCGGCGGCATCCCCGCGGCTCGGCGAGGCTGTCGGGCTGGTCCAGCAGGGAAGCGCTTTTAGGCAGCAGAGCGGGTGAAGGCAGGGCCCGGGGCCAGGGAGCGAGCCCTAAGGCACATCAGAGCAGGTTTGGAGAGGCCAAGACCTCCAGGAGCCGGAGCCTGGGTCCCCCTCGGCGCGCACGTCTCAGTCTATCAGAAACTTCTCACCATCCACGTCACTCCCTGCAGAGCCCTTGCGCAGGGAGGGGAAAAAATCGGAGCGGAGGAGTCGGGAGAAGTACATGAGGATCATGGCGTCGAGCAGCAGGAGGTTGGCAGTGAGGAAGGCACCCTGGCCCTGCACCTCCACGTAGCGGAGGAAGTACCAGGTGAGGTAAGCCTGGGGTGCCAGGCGGAAGGCGAAGTACATCACCAGGTTGACGTACTTGTTGGCCTCGTAGAGCGCCGGGGAAGGCACATTGCTCATCTTCAGCAGCATGCGGACGGTGAGGAAGATGTTTCTCACCTCCACCAGCAGCAGCAGTATCGCCGCCACCAGGAAACGGCCTGTGATGATGAGCGAGACGAAGGCAGAGATGGCCTAGGAGTGGGAGGGGACACAGCAGGGTCAGCTCCCCTCGCCCTGGGGGAGGCGAGTCCTTCCCCCACCAAGGTTTGGGCATACCCGGTGCTGCTCCTCCCACCCTGAGATCCCAGCAGCCCCCCCAGGCACCTGGGCCAAGGGAAAACCAGTCTGGAGAGCCAGTTCCCCCGGGGACCGGTTACACCTCCCTGCGCGGGGAACTGGGACCAGCCTCCGGCTCTTCCCCCGCCCGGCACAGCAGCCTGGCTGGCTCCCGGCGCTCGGAGCCGATGCTGGCAAGTGTCCTGCCCCG